CTTCCGGGCATTATGGGCTGAATTGTGCACCCTGAGTCTGGCACCTGGATCGCCAACAATGGCAGTGCCTGCTGCTGCCTGCTGAATACCTACTATGTGGAAAACACCCCTCTGGTAACAGCATGCATCACTTCTCACCCACAAAGCTCTACACTCTGTGCTCTGGAGATGAGAAAACAGATGGCCAGAAGGGTCACATCCTGCCTGTACCTTGCATTAGTAGCACATGTCAAAGCTGTCCTCAGGTGCTCCCTAGCTCCATGCTGTCTGTTCCTCTCTATCAGGCAGTCTTTCCCATGAAACCCCTTGAAAAGCATTTATCAAGTGATCAGTGACCCTCCGACATACGTGACTACTCCATGACTGTATACATGGACTTTCCCCAGGACATAGCCAGCCATAATGACCCTCTTCAGGGACACACTGTATCCTGTAGTTAAACTCTGAGCCCCCATTCAGGGCCATGGTCAGCAAGGTCTGCTAAGACAGAGTTACTGAGCAGACCTTTGCCAGCGGTTCCCCCTGAGCCCATGGTGAATCTATTGCGCTGCATTGGGCGTGTGCTGAGGCTTCAGTTTGCTGGCCTGTGCCCCCTGGATCACATGTCCCCATGTACCTGTAGCAGTTGTTGTGGAATTTGTTGTAAGAAGAAAGAGTGATGAGTCCTCCCCAGGCCGCAGACAGGGAGAAGAAAATCTGAGTAGCAGCATCCTTCCACACCTGAAAAGGAGGAGGAGAGTCAGATCACTGAGGAGTGCAGCCTCCAGTGACATGCTTGACTCCACAGAATTGAAGTAAGGACCGGGACAATCTCCAAGCAGGCTTTCTGAGTGGACAAAGCCAATAGTGCAGGGCGGATGCGGGCTCTGCCAGCCTCGAGCTTAATATCTACCATTGCATTATTTTAAGTGCTACACATTTATTGCGTGTGTGTGTCTGTCAGAGTACAAGTTTTGGGAGTCTGTTCTCTCTTTCTGCCATCTTGGTCCAGGCCCAAATTACATGTCTCACCAGATTAATGCCAGAAAGAAAACAACAGCCCTCCTACAGAGCACTCAACCCGCCTACACACACACACACACACACACACACACACACACACACACACACACACCAGTCTATGACAACAAAACATAGTCATTAACACAAAATAACCCATTTTAACTGACAGTCCTATGTGCTATGACAACTACCACTCAAGGCCTGAAATTCCACGATCCCTACTCTTTAGAAGAGTAGCAACAGAGTGGACAGACTCCATGTGGCCACCTCCCTCCTCAGCTTGGCTCTAGAGGGTGATTCATAAATCTTCAGGTCAACTCAGGCCTTTGTACACTGTATGTATATGGTCTCTACAATGGACTTATCTTCATCAATTAATTATGTCTTAAAATTGTCCTTCAGTGGGGCTGGTGAGAAAGTTTAGTGCTCAAATGTCAGCTTCCACAACAACTGAGGGCCAGAACAAACAGAGAAGAAAGAGATAATAGAGTCCCAAAACATGTGCTCTGACCTAGAGAGATTCAAACAAATAAATAAATAAATGCATAATAAATGTTTTAATGTGCTTAAAATAACAGAAAATTTCAAGTGTGAGGCTGGTAAAGTCCGCCTCCACCCAGCACCCATTCTTGTCCTCTCAGAAACAACCCTTTGGTTGAAAATCAGTCCCACGTCCAGCTTCTCCATCAGGGAGGCTCAGTGGGGAGGGGCAGAAGACCTGTGTGTCACTTAGTCTCCGGCCAATGGTATGAAAAGAAATTACTATGTGGAACGTCTGCAGGCTCCCCTCTTTGAAAGAGGGGGACTCCCCTCTCTGCCTCTCCTCTCACACCTGTGCGGCCTGGAATGATGATGTGATGGCGGGTGCACCAGCAGTCCTAGGTCATCTACTCACTAAGAATGGTGAGAGCACAGAACAGAGCCTCGTGCTATCACAGAGGACTGAGCTGGCCCCTGGACCAGCTACCGCAAGAGTGACGTCAACTGTTAACTTATTTATGCTACCATTACCTGGAAGCTTTGTGGTACGTGCAGCCGAGCTCAACCCTTGCCATGAAGTTTTTAACGTACTCTTGAAAAAGCAGAGTTTTCACAAAGGTGAGAAAATTCATCTACAGTTGCACAATTGCCCCTCACAGGGAGGGTGTGGGTGCGGGTGAACTTTTAGAGTGTGATGTACACACACCTGACAAACAGAAAGTTCAAGTATGTGCTACATCCATGTGCAGAAAGTATTCAAGTGTGTCTGGGACCTTTAAAATCAAAGGCCTGCTCTGATTTTTCAGCCAGCAAAGCTCTGCTTCTACTCTATAATTAGTAACAAGTGGTGTGAGGTGGCCCCCACATCATTAGGGCCTGCACTGCCATTGCAGCTCAAAAGCCACTGCTCTAGAATCTGAAAGTCCTTAGCATCACCCTAGCACACTGAAGTCTCTCTCACAGACCTGAAGAAGTAGGCATAGGGATCCCCAGTGGGGGGCAGGGAAGACCGGCCCCCTCTGCTCCACACCTATAAGCGTGGCCCACCCTGAGGGTGCCCCCCATAGCCCCCCCACTTCCAGTCCACTATAAATTGAGTAATGAGCCCACCGTGGCATCCGTGAGTTTCTCCCACTTGGGTGTGATGAAGTACCAGATGCCAGCTCCAGCTCCAGGCAGGGTGACTCCTCGAATGAGGAGGATGACCAGCACAACATAGGGGAACGTGGCTGTGAAGTACACCACCTGGAAGAGCAGAGGGATGGAGAGGATAGTGAGCAGGCATCCCTGAGGACATCACTAAGGTGAGGTGAGGGGGGACCTGCCATCCAGGCACATACGTCCAACACCGAGGCCTTCCCAAGCTCTGACAGCACTAAGGTCAGATGGAAGAGAACAGGGGGCACTTCCTTTTCTGTCAGCCAAGCATTATGGTGAAGGCTTTGGGGTGAGGAAGCCAGGACACAGGAGACCGGGAGACGATGTCACCCTGTCCAGCTACCAAGTGACCAAGATAAGCCACAGGTGGGGAGGGAGGCTTTGTGATACATTCCCCAAAATTTCTACCTCATGTCTGCCGGAGGGCCCAAATTTCACCGTTAGATAAATCCTTTTGGCTTAGGCCTTCTTATCCTGGCTTACACAGATACCCTGGGTAAAATGGCCTCCCTGTGTGAAGAGATTGTGATTCTAAAATTAGACATGTTTCTACTCAAATGGAATCCAATCTCTGAAAGTGAGGTGTGACCTTGGGCAGGCTCCTAAGGCCTCTGAACTTCAGTTGGTATACCTGCCATGTGGTACAAAGCACTGTCCTAAAACAACACTGAGAAGCACACAAGCTGCTATATGGAAGCAGGCACAGGGCCTGACCCTGAGAGGTCCATTAAATACAGTTAAGTTTCACAGGCATTCATGCAGGGCTTGGTGTGAACTGGCTGTTATGATAGAAACAGCTATAGAGAGAGGATCCACAATGGAGAAGACCCTGTATCTGAATGGGGGCTGAAGAGACACGTGGAACTCGAGGGGAGTGTGCAACGCCTGGCCCGGGAGTGCAGGAAGGATGCATGGAAATGTCGCTCAAGCTGGTCTTAGAGTAGGAAGGCAAATGGGAAGGTGAAGGAGGAGAGAGGGCGGCCAAGGCAGAAACACAAAAGTGATGCTCTGACCACTCACTGCTAGCATGGCAGAAGGCCAAGGCCAAAGGTGAAAAGAGGGGTAGCTAGAGGTGGCGGAGGAGGTCAGAGCATGGGAGGCCTGACATGCAAACAGTAGCTGTGACTTCTGGAAGAGAGGGAGGGACTGTGTCAAGGAACATCTGGAGGAAGCATTAACAGCTCTTAGGGATGTGTTGAATGAGGATAACTTAGGGGTACTTTCTTACCTGCCAATCAAGCCTCAGGGTGAAGAAAGGCTTGAGCTGGAGACTTGGTAGATGGGGGTGGGGGAGGTGGAGTGAACTGTGCCAGCTCAGCCTCATAGTCACAGTGGCTGGAGTTCAAATCCCAACTCCTCCACTTATGAGCCGAGTCAATTTGGGAAGTGGCTAGACCTGGCTGGACATGTGTCAACCACTGCATGCTCCTCACACAGTGCCGGAGGGGCATGATGGGGTAATCAAAGAGGACCAGGACCGGGAGCCTGCCTAGGACCACAAGGTGAACTGCCAATCACTGAAACATGCAGCCACTCAGAGCCGAGCTCTCACCTCCTAGCTGCAGACCCAGAAGGAGCTGGCCATCTCTTCCCTCTGCTACTACGATGCTGACCATAACACCTCTCCTCCAACCACAGAACATTAGTCACTTCTCCCTTCTGGTCCCAGAAATGAGGTAGTGACATGAGTCAGTCCTACATCTCTAAACTTGCTTCTCTCCTCTCCCTTAAAGTCTGAAGGAAAGGAAAGGCCCAACAGGCAGACATTCCAAAACCCAAGGACATATGACACCTTGGTAGAAAAATCACTCTACCCCAGCCTGGTCAGACTAGCAGCCTTGCCATCAGCTGTGAGATGAGACCTGATGAGGAACGGTTACAAGGCAAGGCCTGGTCACAGCCAGGCTCATTGCTTTCCTCCATCAGGGAGGACACCTGACCCGGGTCTGCTGGGAAGGAAAGACTACAGGAGGACCACAGGGGAGAAGAGACTCCCTAGTTCACAGAGGCTGACAGGAAGGACTGTCAAGACCCCCACTTCTCACTGGGCATCAGTGTAGCCAGCTGATCCAGCTCTTCCCATGTGACTGTTGTGACATGAGTCCTGTTCTGCAGAGAAAGATGCTGAAGAACCAGGCTAAACACCTCATAGGGGATTAAGTGTCTCACTCATGGACTTCCAGCTTGAACCAAGATCCAAACCTGAAGCCACTCCGAACTCACTATTTTCATCAGTGTCATTCTGTGAGCTACCAGGAATGGGCGCTGACAGTGGGAAAGTGAGATGAATAGGCTGCTACTTGCAGAGACCTCATCCTGTTCATGGTCCCAGTGTGTAGTTGGTCCAGCCCCTTTGCTCTTGGTGAACTGAGAGGGTAACATTTGGCTTACAGCTTGGATGTGAGTGACGAGCAGGTGGAGGCTTTCTGCATGCTGCTTGCCTGGGTCAGGTGGCCTTCAGCATGTCCCTGTTTCATACCCACTGTCAGAACTAACGGTGAGCAGTAATGAATCACACTTGGCAGGAGGGACAATGACTGGCTGGCCTGGCCCTTGCAGGCACCCTCCTTCTCACAGCAGGGGCCCCACACAGACAGCTAATTAGGTTAGCTTTACTTTGCTGTGAGTAGCCTCAGGGGCCAGGCTGTCTGCCTGTGACCTTCAGGTCCTTCAGGCCACCTGCTGATCACCTGTGGAGCTCTCCCAGGTCAAAGGCCTTGTCTCCAAAAGCCAACTGTGTCCCCTCAGGTCCTGCACTACAGGAACTGAGCTTACATCACTACAGGGAAAGAGGCATCTCAGTTGGGGAATCTCCACTGTAAAGGAGCTGGCCACAACAACAGGGCAACTCTATCCTGCATTCTCTCTGGCTCTCAGATAACTATCTTTGATTTTTTTCAGCACAACCCAGGGCAGGATAGAAAAGTGCAGTTCATTATTTCTGGTAGCAGCCCTCATTTGGAAGGGGAGAGAAGTCTTCACTGGTATTTGATTGGAAACTTCCTTAGTGAGACAGGGTTAGTGTGGCAGTTGTCAGTAACAAGCTTACATGCTCCAGACTGCTTTCAACTTCCTATTCCCCAAAGCTTAGGAAATCCAGCCCCAAAGATTAAATTCTAATCATTTGAAAGAGATGACTACAATGCCACTCCAACAAAAACACAGATGAGCAGAGCTTAAATGAAGCTTAGAGGTCAGGTGTGATGGTGCATGCTCATAGGCAGCACTTAGGAGGTAGAGGTAGGCAGGTCTCTGCGAGTTCAAGGCTCACCTGGTCTATATAGCAAATTCCAGGGCAGTCAGGTCTGCACAGTGATGCCCTGACTCAGAAAACAAACAAGCAACCGTACAGAATATTTATTTCAGTCCTGGAGTTTGCAAATGAGCACAATAAGGCCCTGATGCACCCTGGGGCTTTCCAAAGTCTCAATGATAAATAGAGCTGAGGCAGGCTAAGAGACCTGGCATCCTCACACTTCATGCAAATGGAGACTCATGGTTCTCCTTTCCTTATAGCGAAAGAAAAGGCCATGTAGATTCTAGGCTTTGCAATGAGCTAGACCCATGTTCAAATGGCCCTGCTGCTGCTTTCAGGCTGTGTGACAGTGGCAGCCAAGCCAGACTGTAGATGGCAGTCAGCAGACACACACAGCAGGTGCTGGGAAACTGATGTACTGTTGTAGGTAGAACAATCAACAGTGGCCCAGACAGAGCCCTCCATAAGATGTCTACTCTCTCTGCTTCCCCAGTGATGCCAGTGATGCTGAGATGCCAACAGGGATGACCATCAGGCATTTATAACAAAATGAAAGGAAATAGCATTCAGGAAGACCTGCCCTACACCAGGTATTTTATGCGCATTCTTACGCTCTTCTGGTAATGTTACAGGGTGTGGGCTACCATCCCCAGGGTAGGGGGTTGGGGATTCAGAAACAGGATCCCAAGGTTGACTGGCTTGTCCATACTTGCATAGCTAGGAAGTGACTGCATCCTTTCCGCTGAACCATGGTCAGGGCACATCATCTCCATCTCTAGCCTATGGGACTGTGGCTGAGCAGATGCTTGGCTGGTTGCGCTAAGCATCCTTAGAAGATTGGAGCTGCCAATCAGCTAAGGTCCAAACTTAGGTCCACGGAAGACAAGGACATGAGGAAGCCACAGGCCACCCTGGACATGGCTGAGTGGTTCCTTCAGCATTCTGCATCTTCTTACAGCCATCCCCCACCCCCACCGCAGTACTCATCCTGAGCCAGTGGGGTCCTCGAGCCTCAACGCCAGCTCTCATTTTACAGAGAGGAAAAGTGGTCTTAGAGAATACATGGGTCCTGATAGCTCCTTCAGCAAGTGCTCAGACAAAACAATGCTGGAACTAGAGGACTTTAAACACCTCCCAGACTGACAGTTTTCTCCTTCAAACTGAGAAAAAAACAGAAGTGCTCTGAAATAGCTGAGATGAGAAAATTGGCTTTTTATTTGTTGGAGGAAATAAGTAAAAAAAAAAAAAAAAAAGAGTAAATCAAAAGGTCTGCCAGGTTTCATGTCTCAAGCAGAGAGGATCTTATACAACAAGCATCATGGGAAGCCCCCAGGGGCTTGGAAGGTTGTAGAAAGAATGACTGTCTCAGAAGAGGCAAAAGAGGAGGAGGGAAAGGGGAAAAAGATAGCTGAGATAAAGCCAAGTTCTTACTTTTCCTGATGTCTTAATTCCTTTTGCCAGCGAAGCATACACAATCACCCACGCCAAGAAGAGGCAGAAGGCCAAGGGCCACCTGATCTCGCCTGGATATTCAATCCCTGCAGAAATCTTCAGCACAAAGTACCTAAGAACCAGACAGAGATGGAAGAAGAGGAAAGGGAGGGAGGGGAAAAGAAGTGAAGATCTGCAAGCTTCAACCTCCCATTAGAGCATGAGAGCCACCTTTAAACACACCCAGTGCCTCCCTCAATCTCTGAGCTCAGAACGCCATCGCTTAGCTTGAAGGACTGGCAGCCTGGCTCTTCCCACAGCTGTTGCGAGCACTCGCTGTTCTCTTTAACTGTTAGCTGGGAAGTCATTTGTGACCGGCAGATTGATTCTGTGCAAGTCAGTTGGCACCATCATCTTGAGTTACCATCCAAAAAGCACAACAGACAGGCCAGGCATGTGGCTCAGTTGGCAGAGCGCATGCCTAGCATGCACAAAGCCCTGGGTTTGGCCCTGCAGTCTCAGCACTCAGGAGGCAGAGGCAGGAGGATCAGAAATTTAAAGTCATCTTCGGCTAAACATTAAATTCAAGCCCATCTTGGGCTACATGAAACCTTCTCTCAAAAACAAACAAAAAAAAAAAAAATGAAAGGCACACAATAGAAATTCTGCAGTGGGCCTTGGGGGAATGGCTCAGTGTTTCAGAGTACTAACTCCATAGTCCTAAGGGCAAGGGTTCGAATCTCAGCACCCAGGTGAGGAGTATAGAGCCCACAGACATTCATAACTCCAACTCTGAGGGATGTGATGTCCCTCCTAGCCTCTACCCCGGTATCTATATCTACATGTGCATACACACAGTCACATACACACATACATACACAAATTAAATAAATCTTGGTTTTTTTTTTTAAAAAAAAAGGAAGGAAGGAAGGAAGGAAGGAAGGAAGGAAGGAAGGAAGGAAGGAAGGAAGGAAGGGAAAGAAAGAAAGAAAGAAAGAAAGAAAGAAAGAAAGAAAGAAAGAAAGAAAGAAAGAGAAGGAGGAAGGGAGGGAGGGAGGGAGGGAGGAAGGAAGGAAGGAAGGAAGGAAGGAAGGAAGGAAGGAAGGAAGGAAAGAAGGGAGGAAGGGAGGAAGAAGGAAAGAGAACATCTGAATTGCCAAGAATGGAGTCAGGCATTTCTGTACCCTTCCACTCTTCGTTAGTGAGTATTCAGGCAGTTTGTACTTTTCCACTTCAGAAAGTAGGAATGGCAGAAAGCAGTGACTCGAGGTTGTACTAGGTGTGTTCCAAGGCTGACACTGGCTAAAAAGTATTCACTGCAGAGTGCTTGCCTGGTATACGTGCAAATCTGGTTTTTCTCCCTAGCACTGCAAGAACAGGGCATGAAGGTGCAGGCACAGCCCCAGCACTCGGGAGATGGGTATGTTGTGGGAGGTTACCTTTAGTGGACTACATAGAGAGCTCAAGACTGGACCATGTGAGACTCCAACAGCACTGGCTCATATCACCTCAAGACAGACCAGGAGAAGCTGAGAACCCCGACCTCCCTGAAGGCCCCCCTTCAGTTTGCCTTGGCCCACCATTCTCCACCTTCTTGTTAGCACACTCACAGTCCTGCCCACACCAGTGTGCATAGAAGCTTAGGAGCTAGGCTTGGCCAGAGGGCACTGCACTCCCCTCCATGAAGTGCCTTCACTCCCTGCCCCCACAAACATTTCAGCAATAACACCTCCCAGCTGAGGGTCTCCGAGCAACCCCGAACCCTGTTTTCAGCACTCAGCAACACAGACAGAAAAAAAGGACGAAACTCAGCCAGGCGTGGGGCCTCATGCCTATGATCCCAGCCCCAGAAAGACTGAGGTAAGAAAATACTAGAGTTCAAAGTCAGCCTGGAGTACATGGTGAGTCCAAGCCAGCCAGGGCGACAGAGGGAGTCCACTTCTGGAAAGCAGGGAAATTAAAAAAAAAAAAAAAAAAAAAAGGGTGAGAAAGGAAGGAAAGAAAGGATGGGGGAAGGAAGGAAGAAAGGAAGGGAAAAGGGAGAGAGGGAGGAAAGGAAGAAAGGAGAGAGAGAAGAAGGAAAGGAAGGATGGGAGGAGGGGTGAAAGGAGAGAGAAAGGAAAGGAGGGATGGATGAAGGAAGGAAGGAAGGCTGCTTCCTCATATAAACTAAATGCCTGAAACTGACTGTTTTCTTTTGACTTCTCTTCCCTGGAGGTCAAGTGTGAGTGGACACAAATGACGTGGCTGCCAGATGTCTGCTTGGATCACGTGAGTCAAGGCTAGAACCTTTTCCTCATCAGCAGGATGGATTGCCTGCCGCAGCACCAGTCTTATTCTTACCTGCTGTCATTTGGTCATCCCTCATGTACAGGCCCACAGTGCACAGCAAATGGCTTTTGGAAGCCCAAACAGACACTGCGATCGTTGACATTGGCAAGGAGAGTACAGAGTAAGGCCACCCGCCCCTCCCACCTCACAGTTCTGGTCTGTAAATCATCCTCTGGGCTTACTTGAAGTACTCTTCGCTACCACTGACGAACGTCTTATTGGCCTGGCTGGTGAAGTTAACCATTGTCAAGTTTGGATAGGCAGTCATGCAAAAAGTGGAGTTCTTGATCTGTATCTTGGGATGGTCAGTGATGACACAGGAATCTGTTCAGAAGAGGATGGAAGAGAAACAATGAAGTATGTATGGAGGATAGACAGGAGTCTCTCTCTGCCCATCTGAGGTCAAAAGCCAAGCACTAAGCATTGGGGAGTAATGGGGGAATATCAGCAGAGCATATTTCTCACCCCACATACCCCAGCCCCTCAATACCTTGTACTAATAACAAAAACTTACATTTACATGGCACTGGAATAGAAAAAAAAAAAATGGTACTGGTGCCTTTAAACCCAGTACTCAGAGGCAGAAGCAGGAGGATCTCTGTGAGTTCAAAGCCAGCCTGATTTACATAGTAAGTTCCAAGCCATCCAGGACAATACAGTAAGACCCTGTCTCAAAAATAATAATTAATATCTGATTTTTTTAGTAAAGAAATGGGCATTACAAAGGTCAGTAACTCTGCTGAAGTCCCATAAGTAATGAGAAAGAGATCAAAATTCAGACCCAGATCTATAGGACACTACAGAAGACACTTGAATTAGAGAAATCAGTTTAAGCAGAGGTGAACTGGTAAGACACAGCTCCTTTAAGTACTGTTGCTACAGAGGGCTTGCCAGCAAGTACTCCCTCTGGTCAGGGCAGGAGCTCTAGCCTGTAATCCCAGCATGTGTCACACAGGCAAAAAGGATCAAGTGGACTGGGGCATAGATCAGTTGGTAGATTGCGAAGCATGCAGGAAACCCCAGGTTCAAGTCCCAGCACCATCTAAAACCAGGTGTGGTGGCTCGCGTCAGCACACTGGGGAGGCGGATACAGAGGAGTCAGGAGTTTAAAATCATACTCGGCTCCACAGCGCCTTCTAAGACATCCTAGACTAAATCCTGTGTCACACAAAGAACAATTTCTAAGCCCTGCTTTGAAGCACCACCTCGAACTACAGAAAATACACAGTAGGCACTCTTAGAACCTGGGCTGTGCTCTTCCCACACTCACGTGGGTTAGCAGACATAGTGACCACAGTGTGTGTTAAAGAGCCTCCAACAAGGCTCTAGCAGTGTGTTTCAGTGAATCTGATCATCATGGGACATAAAGCGATATCCAAAAGCATTGTTAATTGTATCTGAGAAGCTTGGCACTATCGATATCAAGCGCATAGAGACAGGATGCTCTAACGCTACAACGTACAAGTCATCCCACAGGGGGAAAAAAAAAATCTGGTCCAAAATGTCAGTAGTGTGGAGGCTGAGAAGGCCTGGAATAAGGAGAGAAAATCAACTAAGCAAGTGTTAGCATGTCAGGTGCCAGGCTGGGCTCAGCTCAGGAAGTCTCTCTTAGACCCAGCAAGCGCAGCTTATTTTACTTCACTCTCGATAGGAAGAAGCTAGGATCTTTCTGACCATTTCACAACGTGTTTCTAACAGCATTATAGACACACAGCTGGGGGTTAGCTCAGTGGTGAAGCGCTAGCCTAGCAAGCCCTCGGCTCCAGGTTCTATTTCCAGCACCACAAAAAGGAATGCAGTAAATACAAATGGATATTTGAACTAACGAGCCCACAGAGACTCCTGAAAGAATCAAGTATCAAGGAGTAATAAACTGGCTCTGTGCGGACTACGTCTGGTGGGTGTCTGGAATGCTCTGTGTCCACAGCCCTAAACCTTACATCCCTCTCTCTGGAATCAGCTGGTACCCTGGAGCTGCATCCACTCTTTGGAATCCTCACTCTGGTCTACCCCACTCGGGAGTACACAGCAGGGCTCATGACCGCATATACTTAGAGAGTTGAGGATGGAGGCCGAGGAAGAAAGCTCTACGTGGGAGCAGGGAGCGGAGCATTCTCAGCAATCCGCATTAACCTTAGATGTTGGGGCGCAGAGGCAGAAAGTGAACCTGCGAGCCACCCTTCCTGTCGAAGCTGTGGAGGATGAGCCACCGTGCCGAAATGTGTGCGGTGAAGACGCAGTGTGTCCGGAGCCACACTCTGTGAGCGCAGCCACTAGGGCCAGCAGTCGTCGGGGCTTCCACCTGCCGAGAGCACCTCCAACTGCTCAGAATGGACGGACCTCATTCACAGGGCTATTGCTGGGATCAAGTAAGTGAGATGAGGGCTTACAAGTTCATACCCTGGCAGTAACGCAATCCCCATCACGATATTGCCCGTGGAGTGGAGAGTGCTCAGCGTCACTTCCCGTGAGCACACTGGCCCGTCGGTTACCTGCTGCTCCTCCCCACCCCGAGTAGCTCAGTATCTGGGATCCTGGTGACCTTGCTCAGTTGGCCGGGTGCTTGCCTGGCAGCACACAGCCGGCTCTGTCTTCAGCATGAAACCATGCGTGGAGGTGCACACCTGTAATCCCAGCACTCGGCAGGCGGAGACAGGAGGACTGCCAGGAGTGTGACCCCAACCTTACCTCAAACAAGCAAGATTCAAAGGGTCGCAAACCCCTTCCCTTCAGATTGCTTCCTCAGACTAGGGTTTCTGTGCAGGAGTGCTACTGACTTTCCAGGCCAGATCATTCTTTTGTTGGTAAGAAGCTGTCCTGTGTGGTAATAGCCTGCCTTTTCAATATTAATATCAAGATTCTTCTTCCCCAGCAGCAACCTGAACCAGGCGAGTAAAGTACTATTCTAATCCTTTTGGCGTTAATAATCACAGGACTTAATTCCGACTTTTCCTGCTGAAAAGCAACCTATCCGCTAAGAGTGCAGGGTTCACACACACACACACACACACACACACACACACACACACACACACACACACACACACACACCCTTGCTTCCAAAATTGTCCTTAAAAAAAAAAAGCCTAGATAGGTGGATGTCCGGAGGATCGCCACAGCCCATAAGGTTAGGTTCCTGGTTCCCGCAGCAACGCTGCAGAGCCTCCAGCAGCCTCAAGCTTCCTGCAACGTTCCTTCTCGCCACTAGGCGGCAGGAGCGTGCTTCCCGGCGCTCAGCCCTCAGTCCACCGGAGAAGCAGTGACAGGCCATCTCATCAGAGCTCCTCGGCCCAGCAACCCCGAACAAAGAACAGCGATAATGATCGGCTAAATTGGAAAGCTGTTGGAATGGGATTCTCTTTACTCGGGCAATTATTAATAAATGAAAGCACAGGAAAGACCGGGGAGAAAAGGGATCATTTAATTAAAGTTCTAATGAAAATTAAGCCATTCCAGAAATAGAAATGTTGTTTATACTGTTCCCATTTGAACTGACCCAGCGAAGGCCCTGTTTGAACAAAACAGTGGCTGGACTCATTCCTCAGGGCATGAGCAAACCGTCCTCCATTGCGGATCCTTGGCAGGCTGCGTCAGCCTGAGCACTGCCTCTGCTCCCAGCTGCACCAAATGACGCAGGGAGCTGAAACAGGAGGATTGCCCAAACTGCAGAGCAAGGCCCCGTCTTAATAAAAACCAGGAGGAAGGGGAAAGAAGATGAACCGACTGGGCATAAGCTACCTCAATCTGTAGGCTGGTTTCGGGCTAGAGCGGGCGCAGTGCTTGGCACATGGTGTGACGTCACCATCAGACAGCATGGGACAAACCTCACCCGCTGTGTGTGAAGGTCACAGTGTGAAGCCATTTATACACTCATCTTCTGGGTGGATGCCAGGCTGGCTTTGAAAAGGAGGGGTTACGGGGCTGAAGGGGTGCCTGGGAGGTCATCCGGGAAACACTGCTGAAGGGAAGGGACAAGCAGGTCCATTTCCCAAAGAAGCCTAACTTGGTGTGTCCATCTTAGAGATGGCATTGTAGAGAAAGCTATTGTCTGGGCTCCCAAGAGCTGGGCCAAGTAGGAGAGCTCTAAGGCCACTTGTGTCTCTGTAGTTCAGGCCATTGACACCTTTTCTAGGTCACCTCAAAAATCCCAACATAATTGACACCCCTCTCAAGGAGAACCTAACCCCACACACATGCACGTCATACAGAAGCTGAAACATGGGGCCTAGGAAAAACGGATACTTTGTTTTTGTTTAACAAAAAAAATAAATAAATAAATTAGAACACTGGCTAAGAATGCAGTGGCCTCTGACTCACTCACGGGCTCCTGGGAATAATCAGGAAAAGGTGCCCGTTGTCTGTGTCTGGGCTGCTTTAATGGTGTGTAACTGGTGAGTAGATGCCTACCCACGCCAAGCCTCCATCTCTCCTCCTTTCAGGTTTCCTTCAAGCCACGTGGAGAGAGACATGAAGCTAAACCAGGGAAGGCTCGTGTCTGTCTCTTGAGGCATCGTTCATGTGCCTGGCCCAGGCTCTAACACCCAGGTAGCTTTAAAAAGATAAATACCACACATAAACGACACAGTGAATGCATGTCTATGACAAAAAGTGGAGCAAAGAGTGGCCTCAAAGTGTTAGTTAACATTCTTGTTCTTACATCCACATAAGGATTTGCCAATAAAGATAAAATCCCACTATAAACATGCGATGCTTTTACATTTAATATGATGTGGTGAGGGCTTTTCCGCGCTTTTTTTTAATATTTGTTTTTAATGATTATAAAATACCTTACTATATAGATGAGCCATAATTAATTGGAACTACGGAACTAATGCACTGTGTGAATTTTGCTCACATACCAAGACTCTACTGTATTCTAATACTGGGAATGTGGTTGCAGTTAATCATTTTGTGCAGTGCCTGCCTGCCTCTAATTTGCCCTTTGCACAGATGCCTAGGTGTAGAATCATCACAATAATAGCTTAACTATTGTGCACATAATCTTTCTTTTTATCACACAGAATATCAACCATAGACATCACTTAGGAAACAACTGGGACTTGATAGAATAGAATATGAAAATCTGGGGTCATATGGCCCAAAGTCCAGACCTGGGGCTACCTTGAAAATTACAGTGTAGGCTTAAAAATCCACTTAGCCACCTGGAAAAATAATAATAATAAAGTCGTCACCTGCCACCTGCAATTCCTAGGTTCTCTTCAGAAGGGATAGAAACACCGCTTATGATGCAAGCTTGCAGACTGGGAAGTATTTAGCACTGATGTAAGTCCATGGCCTGGAAAGGCATGTATATTAGACTCCAGTGCCCACATCAGAGCAGACACCTAATTCAGAGCTTTTGCCCAACGTTCTTTGCCTTTAAAATGGAAATAATAAAGGAGTGCCTATGTAGGCTTGTTGTCCGTAATAGCATTGGCAGATCAATGAGAGCTGTGGCGGTGCCTGTTTCTGTACCTGCTAAGATGCTGCACTGGGAGAGGCTTTTATACTTCTATGTGACCCCCACCTGGGGGACAGCTGCAGGACACTGATCACTGTGTCACACAGTCCCGGAGGCAAGCTCCAGGAAGCATCCTGAATCAAAGAAACAGCTTGGTCCAGCCCTTACTCTTGGAACGGGACTTCCTTTCCAGTCATGATCTGGCAAGGACGAGCAGGGCTCTGCATTGGGTTATGACCTGAAGCGTTTCTCTACTCTAGACTGCAGCTCCTGGAAAGTGTGCTTGGTCTAAACTTGGCAGTTATTTCCAAGAAGATATTTGGCAACTGATTGCTGGTTGAGATTCTGTGAAGAGCTATAAAGTGGGTCTCTCCAAGATCACAGATTTTTAGAGGTAACCACTGTATGGGGCAAAGAGGGCAGGCCACTCCATTCCAAAACTGAGTGTGGCCCACATTGTCAAAAGCTGTTATGGGGGGGGGGTTATTCAATGATGGCTGACATGCCTGGGTTCAGCCATCCCAACAGGAAAAAAAGCAAGTGAGCAACTTCTGGCATAATAGTTTCCACCTTGGCTTGAATCTGAGCAAAAAATATTGTTTCTTGTTTTGAGACCAGATCTCATGTTTGAACTGGCCTCAAACTTGCTTTGCAATCAAGGATGACTTTGAATTTCCAGTCCTCCTGCCTCTACATCCAGGGCGCTGGCATCATAGGCATGTGCTATCACGCCAAATTTATGCCATGCTGGGGATCAAACTCAGGGTTCTATGCATGGTAGGCAAACACTGTATCAACTGAGGTACACTCTAAGTCCAGATCTGAGAAATTTTTGAAATACTGTTTTCTAGGGCCATTGCCACAGCCTCGTCTTTAATTCATCAAGCCCGTTCTTTAAGTGGCATTGCTCATTCCCAGGTGATTCTAATATGCAACTACTAGGTTTAGATGCCCATAGTCTACCCGGAGGAAACCACCAACAGAACAGTAGTGATGAAGACACCAAGTCTTCCAGATACTGAGGGACACTAAGCCTTAGTAACACCTCCAGAGAGTGGAATCTTGTACTTGGGAACCTGTGCAAGGCCCCGTGCCCCTCTTCTGAACACCACCATGTGCTCAGAGTTTAGACTGAAGGGAAGCATCTCTATGGTTCCTCTGTTTTGCTATTATTCAAAATTTCTCCAGGTGGAGGCTGTGTGTGTGTGTGTGTGTGTGTGTGTGTGTGTGTGTTACGTGCATGGGTGTGTAAAAGCACTACAGTGTACACTGTATTCTTAGATATGGGATGTTGAGACTACATGGCATGTGTTGATTTCAATGAGAGTTGTCCCCATAGATTCATGTATTTGAACACTTGGTCCCCAGTTAATGGTGCTCTTTGGGGAGGCTTAGGAGGCCTTGCTGGTAAGAAGTACATCACTGGGAGCAGGCTTGAGAGCTTATAGCCTCACCTCATGTAGTGGCGTGAATAAGAATGACCCATGCGGCCCGTATATTTGAATGCTTAGTCATCAAGGAGTGGCACATTGGAGAAGGATTAAGAGGTGTGGCCTTGTTGGAGTAGGTGTGGCCTCATTGAAGGAACTGTGTCACTGGGGTGGGCTTTAAGGTTTCAAAAGCCCACACAAGGCCAATATCTCTTTTTCTGCCTGCTGCCTACTGTGTGGTCCCAAGATATCGGCCCATATCTACACAGTTTACACTGTAGTACTCTGACACACACAGGCATGGAACATACACACCACACCCAGCCTCCACATGGAGTAGTTTTAAATAAGAGCAAAAGAGAGGAACAATAGAGATGCCTTCCTTCGATGCAAACTCTGCACGTCTGCAGGCTCTGGCTGTAAAATCCTCAGCTCCTTCTGGAGCACCGCCTGCCTGCATGCTGCCATGCTCCCCACCCTGATGATAATGAACTAAGCCTCTGAAATGATAAGCCAGCTGCAATTAAACCCTTTCTTTTACAAGAGCTGGCGTGATCATGGTGTCTTTTCACAGCAATAGAACACGGACTATGACACCCCATTTCCAGTTTGTTCTGCTTACTGATGTGATCCTTCAGCGTCCACACTCCTTCAACCCCTACCAACCAACAGTCACCATACCGTTCCTCACAATGAACTATTCTAAAAGTCACCTGTGGCCATGGTGTTTTATCATAGCAACTATTGAGCAGGACACATATACAGCTAAAGCATGTCCACACTTACCTAGTAAAAGTCTGGTTTTGTCTTTGCATTCTGGTGTGTTCCATGGGTTGTTGCAGGAGCCCCAAGGCAGCACAGACACAAAGGAGGCAAACAGGTAGAAGAGTGTGTAGCAAATGATCACATTGTAGTAAATGGCTATGAGGACAGAGATGATGAGCATCGCAATGCCGCAGCCTGCAAAGGGAAGTGTCTGTGTTGGTGTCATTCCAAACCCCGTGCAAGACTCACACCCACACAGACGCTCCACATTGGAGATGCACAGAGAGTGGAGTGGACTCTGTCCATCAGGAAAGTGAAGATAGTCTGCCGAGGACCCCATAATGGCAGAGAGGATCAAGGGAAGGGGAGAAAGAGTAGGCCTCCCTCCCTAAGACCAGAAGGTGGCAGGGAGGCAGGGCCAGGAGTCGGAATGGGGAACTGGACTCACCCTGCAGAGCTGGGATGGCCTTCCACACAGACACAGGGCCCTGGCTGGCAAACTGGCCCAGTGACACCTCTAGGAAGAAGATAGGCAAGCCAGCCAGCGCTAGCATCATCAGGTAGGGGATGAGGAAAGCACCTTGGAAAAAAAGTGGGAGGAAAGAGTCAGAAGGCTAGGCAAGGCTCTGCCCCTAACCCTCTGGGCTGGTGCTGGGCTCCTTAAGCAAACTGAAGAAGCTTTTGATGTCCCACCTCAACAGAAGGCGCCTTCTTCCAAAACCATCAAGCTATACGTGGGAATACAGTGCTTGCCTCAATTTTCTACCAAGCAGAAGTTGTATGCTAATAGTCTTGTGTTCTTTACAAGGCTTTGATTCTTCCCTCCACCCCCAAATTAAGCCCTTCCACATTGTCACAAATCCATGCCTTTCACTGGAGGCAGATTTGGTGAATTCCCATCAATACAGGCTCTCTAAGTATCTACACTCAGCTGTACTGGATTTGGGGGCCTCCTGTACAATAATCCAAAGAAAGCACCAACCTTCACCCCACCAAAGCTTGCCTTCGGGCAACTGGATGTCCTCTCTGCTCAGCCAAGTCCCCACCCACACCATCACCCACAGGGAGCAGCATCTTCACACACTTCTCAACTTCCTTCTCTCACAACTTACTCCTCAGAGGTCAGCCCTCCTTCTGGGTTTGCCCCAAGCACCCTTCTCTTCAGAATGTTTATGTAGCTGTTTTGCCTAGACTGTGAGCCTCCCAAAGGCTCTTTCAATTTCAATTCTCTTCTCTTTCTCTTTCAATTCTCTTCCTCAGAGGCCTGGGGAAGGCTGCAGAAGCTGGTAGTCTCTGCTGCCTTACTGGGTTCTGGGACATGTTTTCTTTGCAAGGATTCTCAGGCCTAGAGGGAATTACCAGGGAATACCCTCTCTTGAGTCAAAGTCAATTTAAAGACTAGAGATAACAGAGTCCAGACGGCTGTGCTTAGCTGAGGAAACTACTTTCCTCCTCCTTCCCCTGACTTCTTCCGGGTCGGTCTGGCTTCCTGCCAGAGCCTCCAGCCGAGAAGGTCCGAACAGAAGCCAGGTACTATTGGGGTGTAGGGTTAGGCTTCTTTTCTACTCTCTCTGGGTAGAAAAAAGGAAAGTTCACTGTGTGACCCTTCCGGTCTTGAGGAGGTGGAGCGGGCTGTGAGGCGTCTGGGCTGCACTGCAGACAAAGCCTCCACGTTACTTCACAGCCCCCTTAATTCCTCAGGGTCCGGTGAATCAAGGGCGAGCAACGTGGTTGGTCGAAAGCGCTCTGCTGGAATCCCTCCCCTCGCTCCATCCCCCCACGTGGAAACCCCCTTCCCCGCCCTTGCAGCTTCACCACCTGCACCCCACCGCTGTTCCCCTGCACTGGGGCCAGGGAACTCCCTGCTGGGGGGGGGGATGGAAACCCAGCTGGGGGGCTACATCCTATCAGTTTCGGGGCACCCCTGATTGCGAACACTCGTGGTCTGCATTAGTACTTGTCGACGACGTGTCTTAATCAGAACTGGAGGTTCTGGGCGTGGGGGAGGGCGTCTTCTATTTTAGACCGTAACTGTCCCCTGCTGAAGCTCGAGTCCCACTCCAAGCACCAAATGCCCCCTGGAACGGACCGAAAACCTAAAACTGGGCCAGAAAGGACTGGGAGAGGGGCGCATTTCTTGCTCCCTAGAGCAAGGTTCAGGAGAGGTGTGAATTTCTGAAAGGCTCTTGTCAGCTGTCCTGGACGATCAGCTGGACCCTTGCTTGAACCTCAGATGTCAAGCCAAGGAACCCTGACTACAATGGGTCCCTTTCTGGTGGGTACATCTGAGATCTGGTGAGTTCTATGGCACGCTCCTTGGCGCCCCCACTCTTCTTTCAAAGGCAGCGTCTTTCACACAGTGAGGACACGGTGGGAAGGAGAGTCACCTTCGCTAAATGATTTAACTAAAATCAAAATATCTCCTCCCTCTTCCCAAGAAAGGGGGTGATGGGGGCAGGGTGCTCCTAAGAGAGCTCTGAGTAGGTAGGTACACCCCAAGCTCTCCACTGCTCGCTTGTACCCTCCTCAGCTGGAGCCTGTTCTTTCACAGTCTCTAGCCAAGGAATTCCCACTTAAAACCGTAAACCAGACACAGTTTGACCTTCAGGACTGCAGGGCATCGGATTCTAAAGTTCGGTCCTGCAAGCCTGAAATTACTTCGTGACTAGCAGTCGTTAAACTCGAGTTGGAACACCCCTGCTTCTATAAGCACATTTGGCCGGAAACCAGTCCCCAGTCTGGGCCAATAGAGATCCCTCGTGAGTGAGGCTTATGCCTCAGCTGAGCCCATCTCCGCTCTTAAATCCAGAGGGTTCCATTTGCTTCTGCCGTCTAGCCTGCAGAGGACCAGCCTGTCCCAAGCTTCCCTCCCAACCTCTGCCTAAGGTCTTCGGATTTACCCCCAACCCTCCAGTGCCCGTCCCCTCCGCAGGCGGAAAGAGCTGAAAAGCCATACCTCCCCCGTTCTGGAAGGCCAGGTAGGGAAACCTCCAAACATTGCCCAGCCCCACTGCGTACCCCACCATGGACAGGATGAAGTCCAGTTTGCTGGACCAGTTCCCTCGGGCCTTATTCTCATCCCCTTGCTCGTCCTCCTGAGGGCGGAAAAGCACATTGTCGGATTGCAGACCCAGGTAGGCCCTCAGCAGGCCCCACTCCGCCCTCCCCACCACAGCTAAGGGTCCTTCCCCGCAAGCAGACCCCCAATTTCCAACAGAGGATGCATCGGCAAGCAAGATCCCAAATCTGAAGAAAGAATGCATCTACGAGCAGAGCCCTCACCCCTGCACTGAGTCTTTCAGCAAGCAGGCCCCCAAATTTTATTCTAAAGATCCATTTTAATCAGACTCTAACCCTGCTTCCCAAATCCTACAATCAGGGCACACCAGCAAGCAGCCTTCCCCAAGCAGACCAGTCCCTTCACACCCAACCTCTCACCAGGAGTTCATTTGGCAAGCAGACCCCCGACATCATGCCTGGAGTTCCCAGCAAGCAGGTTCATAACCAATTCCTCCCCAACCCCTCAAAAATACCCTCACTGCGCATTCCTCCTCAGCCCTTTCTTCAAAATGTGTGCCAGAAAAAATAATTGTAATGCTTAAAGCCAGCCAGAGCCCCTGCCTCACTTTCTCTGCTAAAGCTTACAGGCAAAACCTGCCCAGTCAGCTAATTTTAAAAGGTGCATCCTTCAACTCTGGAAAGAGGGAATGGGCAGGATGGAGAATTGGAGCTGACACAAGAGAGAAAGAATAGAGAAGACTGATGTGGTGACAGCCAGGGTAGCCAAGACCGTGACTTCTGTTCTAGATCTTGCTACGAAGCAGAGACAACTCCCTGAACGCTGCTTGGGCTCAGTCTGTGCCACAGCTATAAAAGGAGTGGGGGTGGCTCTGAATAGCTGTCTCTGTGGCATCTGCCAGCTTACACAGTCTGTGACTCTCTGGGCTTATGTCTCCAAGCTCACATGGACTTGATTCTAGAAAGCCTCAACAAAATGAATGAGGAGGCCACCCTGTATGAACTCTGAAAGTGTTCTGACACCCAGACCATTTGTAACCTGCTTCCCAGTCACCCTTCACCTAGGAAGTTACAGCTCGGCGTGCTTCCTTCCCAAGGTTCTCCAGGTCATGGAGGAGAAAGCAGTGGTGGTGAAGGGAGATGATGGCCTAAGGGCAGGGAAGAAGGGCTGAGTGAGTGTCAGGAGGGGCTGAAACTCTGGTACTCAGGCCCCTCAGGCTCTTTAAAGTCCCCTAGCTGTCCCTGCACACCCCTAGCCCCACCCTCCCACACCAACAGCACTGACAGGGGAAGGGAGTTCAGCTCTTTTTGTCGCAGTGCAGGGGTAAAGGGAGGTGTGTGAAAGAAACATTTTCCACACCACTGTTGGGTACATGCTGCTAAAGCACCTAAAATGCGCAGAACAGCGTCCGAGGAAAAAATCCCAAAGCAAAGAAGCATGTAAATGCAAGGCTATTTCTAGTTACCCTAATGACTGAATGGCTGTATTTCTACTGTATAAATTCTGGGGTGAGGGTTGGGCTACAGATGATTAGGGACAGAAGTCTCTGCAATCCCTACATTGCACATGATGATAATCTAGTCCACTCTCAGCCTGCGCTCTGGTCACAAACCTAGCCCATGAGTCCAGGCTTGAAGGAGAGTCCCTGCAACAGCGTGGGGAAAGAAGAAATCAGAGAAGGAAGAGAAATCACTGCGGTGAGATGGAAACAAACAAAAACCAATAAGGAGGGAAGACTGCCTTGACCCCTGGTCCAGAGATTAGGATTCATTCTGTAGGTTTTGTCCTATCTCTGGTTAGGGGGGTAAATACAGGAGACACCCAAATGGGAAGGGAGTGAACTGAATGAACCTTCTACAATTGAGAGGGCCTATGCAAGAAAATTAAAAAAAAAAAAAAAAGATAGTGAGGTTTGGAAGGGCCTGGGTTAAGAGACTGATTTAGTACACGTCAGCAGCTCATTAAAAGAGTCCTCGGGTAGTAAGGCTGACTCCCAGGGGAGAGCCCCTCAAACTACGCTACACGCCCCTCCCATACCACCCAGGCTTGTCACGGGTGCTTCTTTTGAAATTGGAGTTTTTGGTTTTGAAGAAACGGAAGAAAAAAAAAAAAAAAAAACCCAGACATTGATAGAGTGGGCACTCGCATCTGTTGCAAGATGCAGGATCTAATTTACTATTTTTTTTTTTTAACGGATCTGCACCGATTCTACCGCTGAGGCTGGGAAGGGCACGTCCGAACCTTGCTGGCACAGCCGCTGCACACTCGCACTCCCCAAACCTTAGCTGACGACCCGCCCCACCCCCGGCCCCGGCCCCAGCAGTGCGAGCTTCAGAAGCCCCAAAGCTGCCTCCAGCACCCACCGCCTGGCATTGCCAGCCCGTTTCCCCATCAGCATACGTGCACCCGCCGGGGCCCAGCTCCCTTCGCGCGCTTGGAGGGCAGCAAGCAGCGCGGCCGCTCCCGCCGCGACCTGCTTACCGGTACGGCAGTGGTGGCCACGCTGCCCGGGAGCACGGACGCGATGCCATCCGTCCCCAACACCACGGTGCTCTGGCTCATGTTCACCCAGCCCACGGCTGGGGTATTGTTGTGCTCCAGGGTGCCCTTGCCCACACTCACGTTCGCGTCCTCCTCCGGGCCACGGAGAGCTGGAATCTTGCAATGCAGCGCGTTGCCCGGCCCAGCCGCCCCGGAAGGGGGGTTGGCCTGTGCGCTGTGCCCTTCGTTTAGGTCCCGGAGGGCCGCGGAGGTCGCCTGTGCCCGGGGGCTGCTGAGTTTACACAGCCCTACCCCGGACTGCTGGGCGTCGCAGGCTTTACCATCCGCAGACTGGAAAGTTTGGGAGCCGGTGGAAGCCGACCTGGGCACACGTGGCGGCTGGGCGGCGGCGGCCGAGGGGGCCGCGGCAGGCAGCTCCTGCTCAGGGCTGGTCCTAGGTGCTTGAGGGCTATCCCGGTGGCCCGGCCCCGCTGCCTCCAGGCTGTTCGCTGGTTGTTTATTCATTTCCTTGGGAGGACTGCAATCCTGCAAACACAACGTCAAGTTCGTGCAAAACAAAAACAACAACAAAAAAAAAAAGTCACAGCAGCATTAAAAAATAAAATGTATGCATCTGCGTGTCCAGATGCGCGCTTTCCGGGTCCAGACACAAAACAGACTGGGGAGCAAAGGGAACCGCTGTTTCTCGGCTCTCCAGTCCCGTCTGTATCGCGGGGACATGAAGGAGCTAATATTTTCTCCCCGGCGGAGGGTGAACTCCACAGAAGCACGGCTGGTTTTGGCAGGGGGAGACAGGCAGGCAGGATAGAAATAACCCTACAGCCAGAGCGCCCTGCCCTCTGTGGATTTCAAATCACCATTGTGAAAAGATTCTTTAATTTTCCGCCCCATTTCCTTTGTCATTCAACAATGCACATCGCCTTTTTTCCCCCTCTTTCCCATAGACAAGCTGTGATCACAAAACTGGCTCTGGCATAGGCCAGGGCTGGGCGCCACATGGGTAAATTTAAACTCCTGCATTCCGAACTTACCTCAGTCGCCCACGTAGCAAAGAAGCATAAAGGGTTTCCTTATTTTTTTTTTAAATCAAATATTACCACCAACAAACAGCCGACCACCGAAACAATAAACAAGATGGAACACACAAAGTAGTAACTGGCTTTGACCCTTACACACTCTATGTTTGATTGCAGACCCCTACAATGTATATGGGTCATATACAATGTATATGAGTATTTTTATTTTGCTGTCCATTCCCGGGAATTTAATATCCTTCTCCTCCCTACTCTTGACCAAGGGCCAAAACTCACCAATAATTTGTGTTAGTTTTCTTTCTATTGAATTTTAAACGTAAAGATTTACCAAGGTTTCCTTTGGCTTCCTCAAAGCTGGTGCTACTGTTCAGAGTTTCATGTTAGTATAAATAATTATTTCACCGTAAAAATAATCAAATTACCTTCTCTTCAATCGAAAGCTTCTGCTCTAGCCCGCTTCACAAACGCACAGACTGAGTTTAATCGAACCAAACCCAATACCTGGACTCCGGCGGCATTTTCAACAGCCCCTAGGACCCCGAGCAGCTCGCGGATGCGCTAATCTTGACTTTCAGAACCACGGACAGTGCCTGGATCTGGCCAGCAGCACCAGAAACCTTTTTGCCCTCAGGCAAAGCTACCAAGTACACAAACACACCCGGACTTAAGCCTCCGAAAACAGTTCTCTGCTTTTCTCCTACTGCACAGGTATTTCCTAAAAGAAATACCCCAAACGAACCTGCCATCCTTATCCCCACATCCATCGTTCCTCTTAAGAGAATAAAAGAAAGCACTCACCATGTCTGATTCGAACAGATTGAATTGTAGAGTAAAACCCACCACTGGTCTAGGTTTGGCCCTGAAACAAGAGGCGCTTTCTATATCTCCCCGGGAAAGGCCGGGTTTGCGTCAGTGGGAAGCAAGGTGCCCTTCATTTGACATCTTCCTGATAATACACGTTTGATAAATCATTACCCCTTTGGATTCGGGTTTTAAAGGGACAACAGCCTGGAGTACGCTGTCCTGTTGTCACTCGGGCAGGAGGGGGCTGCGTGCTTGTCGTGACTCATGTGGGTCTGATTACTAAACCAAAGCCAGTGGGAGGGAACAAGAAAAGTTTGCCACCTCCTAATTAAGGGAAACATGGAAGAGACACGTCCCACTGCACCCAAGACTCCAAGGCAAGGTGCAGCCACCAACCAAACACATTTGGCTGTAGTGAGGGAGGGAGGGGATCGAATCAGTCTCCCTCTCCCACCAATTTACTTGCATTCTCCCTGAATCTCAGTCCGATTCCAAAATATCACACACACACACACACACACACACACACACACACACAATGGTGGGTCCAGCCAAATCTGCCCCGCCTGTGCCAGGCTAGGGTCCTGCATTTGGTGAGGGTGCACCTGACTGGTCAGTGTGTGGAGTCTAGATTCCCGCATCCTAGCCTTTCCAGAAAGCCAGTCTAGGAAAGACCCTAGGTTTTTGTTTAAACAATTAAATCTGGTTTTGGCTTCTCTGTTTTTTAGGCTCTTCTGGGAAATTTTTAAAATTTATTTTTAACATGGACTTAGTCTCCAGCCACTTACAAGCCCATCCTTTCTCCATAATCCTTTTAATAAAAAATCCTTTCAAGTCGGACCTGATTGGAGACTGCAGTTTTACCGCAACCTAGGATATCCGTAACCCGGGGCAGGGCTGGCCTGGGAGTGCACCAGGCACTAGAGTGCCAGGTCATGTAGTGGTGGACAAGGACTTTACCTAGGGCACGAGGCGACAACTACAATCACAAAAAGGGGAGTGCTTCGCGCTTTGCGCTAGAAGGGGGTTCGCAGCAATACGCCTTCCCTCTCTCTTGTTCTGACAGCCTATCTGGGGAACCGTGGCCTCGGGGCTGTGAAGCTTGGAAAGCCGAGCGCGCAGCACAGCGGGAGCCTACTGCCTCCGGGTCCAAGTCGTTGCACTCGACTGGGCCGGTCTCCCTGCGGAGCCTGGACAAAGCTGCTGCAGCAGCGAGGACGCAGGCTGTGGCAGCAGATTGCGGTGGGCGCCAGGGGCATTGCTGAGCCAGCTCTGTCTCCTCCCTCACCCTTCCAAGACTCCAAGCGCAGAAGAGGTCTCCGTGAGCCTGGCTCACAGGACAGCCACGTGGATTCAGGGTCCGCACTAGGAGGGGGGCGCGGAGGGACGGGGTGAATAGGTGAAGAGGAGCCCTGTTCTTCCATCGTCTTTTGGGTTCGAGGTAGCCTTTTCTTGAACTCTCACTTTTGGGCTACCTGCAAGGTTTCTGTGAAATTATCGCATTTAAGTTTGCCAAAAGCCTTTCAGAAATTATTCCAATGTCAGCGCAGTGAAATCTAAAGTCAGAAGATAATTTGGACGCCAAAGAAATTCCTAACTCCTCCACCCACTCTAGGCAGCGGAGAAATGGGGAGTTTCTCGGAGGAGAAATAGGGGGCTGAGTGGGACCCTGCGGTGCTCTGGCTGTGGAAGGCTCTGGAAGCGGGCAGGAATGACAATACCAGGAATATCCCCAGATAACAAGAAGGAGCAAGATCCTTAGCCTCAATGGAGACCGTGGGACCTGTTTCCAGTTAGATTCAAGTCTGGCTCTGCGGGCCACTTTGAGTCACGACTTCAAAGCTTCTGGCCAGTGAGCAAGTTTGCATTCGAGCAGGTCCCCCCCCCCGCCCCCGCCAACGCTTGACGCCAAGTCAGCGGGGCGTGTGAAAGTGCCTGGCCAAAGGGCAGCTGCGCAGAGGTGGCGGAGTCGTGCAGGACTTCTCTCTACTCCCACCCCCACTTCGTTGCTGAGCCTGAGTGATGCTCAGTGCCCGCTCAGTCCAGACCTGACGTATCTCCTGGCCAAGTGATAAGCATGGGGCTAATCAGGCCCTGCAGTGGCGGGTGACGCTGGAGCCCCAGCCGCCAAGGCTCAGGCTCCACAGAGGCCCATCCTCCACCCGCGAGATTCCAGAAAGGAGGGACTGCATATAGAGTGGAGAGAGGGTTCCGAAACTATACACCGAGGAGTCACTCTGATAGGATAGTGACCAGCCAAAAGAGCGACCCCCTGGGAGCTGGGAGCAGGCCCTGAGGTGCATCACCTGGAGTTCAGTTGTGTGTCAGCTCTTGCAAGGTTCAAAGAAGGGGGCTGCAGAATTTAATTAATTAATTAATTAAGAAGCAGAAATGGGCGGGTGAAAAGTCTGTCACCCACCGCACTTAAGCCTCCACCTCTTCGGCCGCCTGTTCAGAGTGATAATCCGGGCCGGCGAGCATCACAGCCAAAGAGGCTGTAAATCCGCATCCATCAGTGCGGAGCCATTCGGTCGGAATTAGCCAGTCGCTATGGCCTTAATTACTTTGTCAAAGATGAAAAATAGTAATTGATTTTGTCCTCTATCACTTGCCCCTCTCCCCTCCTTCCTTGCAGATAAGCAAATAAATAGCTATTTGCGAAGACCGCGTCCACCACCCGGCTGGGGCAGCCTAGTGGAAAAAGAACTGTCTGGCCATAGCAATGAAGCTGGTGTTTGCGCCAAGACTCTAAAGGCAGCTGGAACTCGGGCGGAGAGCACCCAGAGGATATCCATACTAAGCCAAGTCGCTGCCCTCCTTCTCTCTGGAAGGAAGTGAGGAGGGGAAGGAGAGGGTGTTTTACAGCAAGCTCCACTGTTCGCCCAGTGCTAGCAGCTACAGCCTTCTCTGGTCATCAGCGTCAGCGTTTGGTGCAAGGAAGAACCTGCAGTGTGATTCATCCGAAAGGCCAGGGAACTTACCTAGGGTCTGTAGGCAGAGCCGGCATCAGAGCCGAATTCTGTGTGGATCCCAGACCATACAGAAGAAAGAAGTGTGGCGTGAACTGTCTTTGTTTAGTCGAGGTTTATACGTGTGTGTCAACACTTACAACCTCTCCAGATGATGGGTGTGAGGGCACCGTGTGCATTTCAGGTGTCATTGCGCGACAGTCAGGAAGCCAGGCAGTATTTTGTCAGCCTGGGTCTTGCTGCCTATTGTCATTGTGCTGCTGTATCGTGTTAAGGATCTAAGTTCTGCAGACAAATTGCACTACCTCCTGGTTCTGTGACCTTGAAGAATATTGTCCATTTGTTAAATAAAGACAAGAATTAAGCAGGGTGGAGAGGGGCTTGAGGATAAATGAGAATGTGCACAAGAAGTGAATGGATTGAAGCTACCTGGTATGCTGAGGATTGGCTATTGCTATTATTCTGTCTAGATGGATGGGATGAAAAAAAAAAAAAAGCAGATCTCTGTGCTGGTTCAGAAAGTACAATGTGGATAAATAGATACAAAGAACAGAAAACTTTCCAAAAAGATAGCTACTGTGAACCCATTTTCTCCTTAGCTAACAAAACAATCAAGTGTTTACCATTATTCTTATTCTTATTATTAGAAAAGATGCCCAGACACTGAAGCTGCTGTGAGTGTGACCAGAGGCACCTTTGTTTCTATGAAGGGAAAACACAGCACACATGGCAGAAGCTTGGAACTTAGTACTCAGCTTCACATCACAGTCCAGTCCTCATTTAGATCCCTGGTGCGAAAGGACACAGACAGATCAAAGCAGGTCTCCTTCTCCAGACCATCTCAGCAGAGTCTACCGCGAGGACTCTGTGTACCAACTGCAGGTTCCAGCTCCAGAGACTCCTGCGGGGTACTAGCTCCCAAGTCTGCAATACTGTCACTGCAGCAGCATGCAGGCCAGGAGGTGCTGGCCACAGAAGCAGGGAAGCGTAGAGCACATTGTAAAGAAGCTTCAAGGACATCTGAAGTCCCTCACTCTACTTTCTCAGCTTGGTTGGGGGTGGGCATGGGGACCGAGGGTCACTTGTAACAATGGAAACAAAGTCAATTGGCATCACCCTTTGGAAAATATACTCTATCACCCTTTCAGGTAGCAAAACCAGGCTTATCATTATAGTCCAATGCAGCTAAAAAGTTTTATTATGGCACAGTTGACAAAGTGAAAGACTTAGGAGGGAATAAAAACAGATGCACATTAGATAGTTAGTGTTCAGTGTTTTGTAGCTGCTAAAAATGGATTAGAGTGAGATGGAGATTAGAGATCCATAGACTCTTGAGATAAGCCAGACATGGAGAATGTATATAACATGATCCTGTTTGGAGAGAACTGGGGATGTAGCTCAGTTTGTAAATTCCTTGCTCACCATGCACAAAGATGTGAGCTCAATCCCCTTCACAAATAAAATAAAAACCAAGGCATGGTGGTGCACACCTATAATCTCAGCATTTGTGAAGTAAAGGCAAGAAATTCAAGGTCGTCCTTAGCTACACAGTGAGTTTGAGCCCCGCCTGGATATATGTGACTCCATCTCAAAGTATATAATAATCATTTGTGTGTGTGTGTGTGTGTGTGTGTGTGTGTGTATGTGTAAAACACAAATGATAGTTAAAGTATTATGTGTGTGGAAGGACACATATTAGGAGGCGATTAGGAATTCAGCTGTTTAATGCTGTGGGCATTGCGGTGAGCAGAGGAGTGGGGGACAATGAAGAGCAGCCAAGTAAAAGGAACAAAAGGGTACAGAGGCTAACCTCTAAAGTGGAACTGCACAATACCACTGATGTGTAAATTATGTCAAACTGCTGTAAACACATCTTAAAAAGAATAAATTTAACAAGAACACTCACCAAGGAGGCCTTTCATCCACGTGTGTTGCTCAGTATTTGTAGCCACAGTCTTTCTGAGGAGCAGAGCACAGAACTAGGGAAGTCG